GATGTTCCAAGGTTGAGCATGCATCACTATTTACCTCTGTTCAATTAGGCCATGCAAACCTGTCTCAGTGTTCCCCTATCTATCTTGTTCTTCCACCCCTCCCCACAAAGCAGGAATTTTTAAGTTAATCAAATGAATGTCTAATTAAAACATTTTTTAAAATGAAAGGAAAAATTTCCAGTAAGACCATAAAATGAAAGTTATTAAGAGAAAAATTTAACTTTTTTTCACTCTAGAAACCAGACTTTGATTTTTTTAGAAAAATACCTCGTTAAAAAATATTATAAAATCAGTCCAAATGTATAGCATTTCTAAGTTTTGCTAATTTTTTCTGTTATGACTAGTAACTGAGAATGTTGCTCTTTTATAAGCAGGTTATAGAGCTGGAAACAAGGAAATCCGAGCTCCCTAATTGAAAAGGACAAATAATGCCGACAGAATCAACACAGCAGAGTGACTTGAAACCTTGTACTAATTCTAGTCTCTGTGTTCCAACATTCTACTTGAACTGTATTTTGAATTATAATAGAAGACATTGCCAGCATTAGAATGAAAACGAAAAGTTCATAGCCATCTATCTAGTTGATTCCAACACTGCAGCCCTACAAGGGCAGAGCAGAACTTCCCCATAAGGTTTCTAAACGTGTAAATCCTTACTGAAGCAGACTGCCACAGCTTTCTCCTACAGAGGCTGGTGGGTTTGAACCACCAAACTTTGCACTTTAACCCTGTGCCATCAAGGGTCCTTAACAACAGATTAATCATTTAATGTCGTTAAGTCCTTAATAATATTAGTCATTTAAATATCTTAAAAATTTTCCACACCTGTGATTTATACAATAACGTGCTACTTAGAGTCAAAAGCCTTGATACCAGTTATGCAGTGCACAAATAAAACCCACCTGTAATGGCATTGGATCGTCCGTAATAAAGGAAATCTTGAAGTTACTGCATATCAGTTTTCCCCACAAATCATACTGACTTGTGTCTGTTGCGATGCATTTTCTCACAAAATTCACTTCATTTACAACAATTTCTCCTTTGGGGGGAAAAAAGAAATCATTGTATGAGCTTCACTACTACTGTAAAATATCCCCTGAGTGCCCTAGAAAGACCATTCATTTCATGATGCTGATGGTAACAGGAAGAACCTTAGGCGCTCCCCCTCCCCACAACAGTGACAAGTAACAAAAGACTGTTTTCCACTTGCAAAATATAGAAATTGAGGGGAAAAGAGCGATGGGGAGGGGCTGCAGTGGGCTGAAGCAGAAGGGCTGGCCCTGAGTCTGCACTCATAACTACCATGATACACTGCCTTTCATGACTTCGATAGTAATATTCAATTACACGGAGCCGTGGTGATGCCGTGGCAAGGTAAGAGCTGGGCTTTACCCACCAGCCGGTCTGTGGGAGAAAGATGTGGCAGTCGGCTTCCATAAATAGCTGTAGTTTTAGAAACCCTATGGGGCAGTTTTACTGTGTCATGGAAGCATCCAGAGAAACTTATTAAACAATCCACATACATAAAATTTATATCTTCTACAGTTCATCAAACTCGGTATGGTTTCAGCCAACTCTGGTACCAGAAACTGCCTATCTAATCCAGCCTTCCCTCTCTCTCAACAGATCTTGGCTACTAATTACAACAAGGACCTTAACCTAAAATATGAAATTAATTATACCCATTTCCAGGTGGCTGCACCTCATCCAAACCATCCATAACTTTTATGATTTAATACATATTTCACATGTATGTTGTACTAAACAAGACCACAGGCTTCCAGGTTCCTGAGAAGGGAGCAGAGGCTGACGAAGAAGAGAACAAGCTGGGGACCAGTGGAGACCTATGTGACCGGCCATCACATGTGTGCAGTCAGGATGCACACACTCAGGGTACAGCCCTTTTCCCGTGAGACCCGTTTCCCTCGAGACCCGTTTCCCTCACTGATGGTACAAACACAGAATGTCAAGCCTGTGAATGCAACAAGAGGAAGACAAAGATAAAAGAAGGAGGATTTAATGAGTTTGTTGTTGTTAAGAGCTGTCAAGTTGGTTCTGAATCATAGCAACCATGTATAGGGTAACTGAGGAGCAGCCGGTGGGATTTGAACTGCTGACCTTGTGGTTTGTAGCCCAGTGTTTATCCTACAACCTGTGAGCCAAATCCAGCTATTTTTATAAATAAATGTTACTGAAACAAAGTCATGCTCCTTCGTTTGTGTACTATATATAGCTGCTTTAATGGGACAAAGGCAGCATTCAATTCTTGAGACGGAGATCTAATGGCTTACAAAACTGGACACATTTACTATCTGGCCCTTAATAGAAAAAGTCTGCCCACCCTCCTGCTGGAGACACTGCTTAAAGATATATGAAACAAAGCTTAGGAGATGCATTTCGGCATGTCCTTTTGGATGTTTTAATGTGCAATTGGCATGGTGATCTTAGAGTACCCCGGAGGCCTCCTCAGGACAGTGGTCAGAAGGAACAGACAACACAACTTTGCTCCTTCTGGAATGTTTCTATGACAAGTCCAAATATCCTTTCTCACCAATGAGGTGCAGCATTCAATGGAAGGCTGTACTGAAAACCTGGACCAAACCATCCTACTACCTAGACTCCACCATTGAACAAAAAACAAGAAGAAAACTGCACATCTTATTCTAAATTGTGATTTAGTGATCCTGTCTTTATTCCTGAGGTGTCTTTTCATCTTTTCTCAGCTAAAAACTAAGAATGAATGAATGAAAAAGAGAAAATCAGTAATAGACTTATCTGAACAAGCAAACCCTTGTATGCTGGCAAAAGACTGTCCACAAGCTCGAGAGCCAAGATATTACAAGTAGAGGTAAAAGTGGAGAGGCATCCAAAGGAACACTGCAGTACAAAGGACAAGAACTCCACCCGATCCTTGTGGCAACTACGGAACTAGAATCTTTCTTTACAGGGACGACAAGCTATATAGTCAAGTAGTTACTAATATTCCCTAATAAGGTGCTGTCGGATAAGCACTGGACTGCTAACCACAGGTCCAGCAGTTCAAACCCAGCAGCAGCTCCTCAGAAACCCTAGACTCAGAGGGTTGCTATGAGTTAGAACTGATTCTAAGGCACTTAACACCAACACCCACCACCTGTACTCAGAAGCCCTTCTAAGTTCAATGGGGAGTTGTTCAGGGAGCGTCACGGAGGAAAGACAAGATAGACGTGCATTTTTATTGTTGAAAAAGGCAGCCACAATTCTCACTAACAACCTCAGGATTTCAAGGGCGCTAAAATCTGGGTAAAGGAGTTCTGGTAGCATAGTGGTTACGAATTGGGTTGCTAACCTCAAGGTCAGCAGTTTGAAACTACGAGCTGTTCCGTGAGAGAATGATGAGGGTTTCTGCTCCCGGAAAGACTTACAGCCTCAGAAACCCTATGCAGGGTCACTATGAGTTGGAACTGACTCCATGGTACATAACCACCACCACCACCACCACTACCACCAAAGTCTTGGTAAGGAGTTCGGGTAATGTAGTGGTTATCAATCGGCCTGCTAATCTCAAAGTCTGCAGTTCGAAACTACCAGCTGTTCTGTGACAGCAAGATGAGAGTTTCTGCTCCCATACAGATTTACAGCCTTGGAAACTGACTCATCTTAATGACAAAGTTGTTGTTGTTAAGTGCCGTCAAGTCGGTTCCGACCCATAGCAACCCTGTACAGGGTTTCCGAGGCTGTAAACCTTCATGGGAGCAGAAAGCCTCATCTTTCTCCCATGGAGCGGCTGGTAGTTTCAAACTGCTGACCTTAAGGTTCGCAGCCTGATTCATAATCACCACGATACCACGTTGTAGGACTGTATTAACTTTATAAAGACAACCAATGATACCTAACTGAAATACACTCCCCAAATCATGAGTCAACAACACACAGGGCAAAAAGGAATGTTTCTGGGAAAGGCACTTATGGTCAAATGTTAGGACAAAGTACTTCTTGGTCACAACAAAAATGAGCTGTTGCTGGTAAGTGCCGTCGAGTTGGTGCCGTCGAGTCGGTTCCGACTCATAGCGACCCTGTATAGGGTTTCTGAGGAGCGGCTGACGAGTCTGAACCACCAAGCTTGTAGTGCAAACTGACCTTGCGGTCAAGTGCTTACGCTACAGGGATATGTTGTTAATTGTCATCAAGTCAGCTCCGACCCATAGCGACCCCGTATAGTGTTTCTGAGGAGCAGCTGGTGAGCTTGAACCACCAACCTTGTGGTTCAAACCAGCTCTGCAGTCCAGCGCATTAGCCCACAGAGTCACACCATGAGCTACTGCCAGTTCAGTTGGGTAAGAGGCCTGGGGAGGCTGTTCCCTCCTGCCAGCCTCACTAGACACAAGGGGCCATGAGAGAGCAGTACATTTACCTCATTCTGTAGCCCTGCAGGGATGGGTGGATCTGCTTTCAAATGTTCTGCCCTCCAACTGTAAAAATGACTTCCCCAGGGGGGAGAAGGATCAAACTCAGCATCAACCCAGGGCCAATTCCTGTGAGGTGGCGCTCACACAGGCCTCTGCCCTTCAATCTGGGCCAATTCTGACATCCATAGCACTCACTAGTTCTCTGCTGTGTCTGATAATCCGTTGCAGAGGTCACCCAGAACCCACAGACAATACATACTATTATGGGGCTTATAGGGAAGCAACAGGTTACAACCAAGATCAGGAAAGGGCACGAAACAATCTTTGGTCAGGACATCATTGTCTTGGCCATGCCCACAGGCTCTCAGCCATGCAGGCCCCAGGTCTCTGCCTTGCTCGGGCAAAGCTCTTTCCACTCTACAGATAAACGACCCAAACGCACTGGAGCCTGTCAGGGAGCCTCAGCTCCAGCTTCTCAGAGTGGAAGCAAGACTCCCGCCCACAGCCACTCAGTTTTCTTGCTCCATGGACAGGAAGCTCACTGCTCGAACTCGGGCTCTTGGTTCTGTGCCTGTGATGCTCCTTCTCTGGTGTCCCCACTCAAGAATGTGCTCACTCAACTTTCTGGATGGGAGTAAGAGTCCACTGGGATGGCTCAGTTTAAAGCTAATAGGATGGCAAGACCGGCCAGTCCTCTCGTTAGGGTCCACGTACCTTATGTACACGGTTCCACAGCACCTGGGTGCCATGTACCTTATTGACATTATTAGTGGGCAGCGATCCAGTCCCCTTGGTAAACCCCAAGCACGTTCTACCCAGTCATTTGGAGTTCTGGTGTTGTGCAGCAGGATCAGCTCCGGACTGCAAGGTCGGCAGTTCAAACTCACCAGCCGCTCCTCGGAAACCTATACAGGGTCGCTGTGAGTTGCAACTGACTCCACAGCACTTGACAACAACAACGTAGTTATCTAGAGTCACAGTGTAGTGCTGTAGGGTAAATGCAAGACCACAAGGTCTGTCTGAACCACAAAGGCTGGTGGTTCAAACTCACCATCTGCTCTTTGGAAACCCTATCCTATGTTGCTATGAGTTGGAATCAACTCAACGACACTCAGTACGCCCACACCTAGTCATTTGGTAGTAACTACAATGTCCTGGTGTGGCACTGTGGGTTAATGCACCAGACTGCAAAGTCATTTGAACTACAAGGTTGGCGGTTCAAGCTCACCAATTGGTCATCGGAAACCCTATGCTGAGTCGCTATGGGTTGGAATCGACTCGCCAGCACTTCACAACAACGATGAAGACTATGGTTAGAAATATCGTATCAAAGAATTCAGGGCACCATTAACACCCCTAAACACACCCGTCCTTATGAGACCTATATGTGATGGTTCACAAATAAGGTCAGAGTCAGCATAACTGATACCCGAAGCTTCTGAAATGACCTGCTTCTTCAATCTGACCGGCAGCGAACACCAGTTCTTCCAGGAAGCTTCAGGTTCCCAAGATTACTAGCAGTTTCTCCTTTTGCTAGCTGCAGCTATTTTTCCATGACATTGGTTACAGTGGTCTACAGCACGCCCTGGTGGAGTGCCCTCTTCTAGGACCTGGGATGGGCCTAACCCCAGAAGCAATGCAGGGATGGGAC